CAAGTCCACGGATTTTACCTTCCTCCTAACACTCTAAAAGTCTGCATCTATAGGTTGCCTCCTCATGAAGAAGAGGAACCAAGGGCTATCTATGCAGTATGAATTGCGGAGCACTAGAAGTTGCCCTCCTTCATCAATCTTCTTTGAAGGCCTATGGCTGAAACTGCAATTTTCAGCTCCAGATTTATTTTATGGGAATGGTATCATCTCCTGTTAAAATGAAAATGTCTTTGGGAAATAGCCCACGCATCTTCCCACTGCACTCGATTTCTATTTTGTGATTCAGTTCATCAGACCAACCAAGTCTTGAGTAACTTTGTTTCCCCAGGGCCTGCATGGTGTCTAGAGCTCAATAATATTTATTAAATAAGTCAGTCAAGAGCTGGTTGAGAACAGGATGGAGATATGAATTCACAGCATGGGAAAGGGGTGATTCTGGACAACAGAAAGAGAGCTAAAAAGAGAAGATGCTGAAAGAGAGGCAGGGGAGTACTCAAAAGAAATTTGACTTATTCTATTTGTGACTGGTGCTGTGTAAAAAGTAAGTGCCTGTCTCATCCTATATTCAAGTGTTCCACCTATGCTCATTTTTACTCTACATGGTCATGCACTTTCTCCTCTCTGTCTCGCACATTCTTCCTTGTCTCACAATTTAAGACCCTTTTCTTAATTTGGGCTCAGATGTCATCTTAAGACTTCCTAGACGACTCTATCTAAATCAGGGCGCTCAACTCCCATCATTTTATTTTCTTTGTGATAAGAATTACTATCTGTAATTATCTTGTTTATTTTTCCTCATTTATTGTCTGCCTAACTCACTAAAATGAAATGGTTTTTCAGGCTCACTGGTGTGTCTCCAGTACTTTAAATAATAGCTGATAAATGTTCTGGTGTTCAATAAATATTCACTGAATAAATGGATTACACAATGCAGCATTTACACATGCATTTAAAAAGTCTTACTTTCTTATAGCCAAGAAAAGTAAGCTCAACAAGTCAGTTCTCCAAACTCCAGGCATGCATATTGTCAATAAACAGGGGATGCAAGCAGCAGAGAAGTGGCATAGAGGCCCAGCAACTCTCCTACCCAGAGCAGTGGCAGGCTCCTACAGCCCTGTTTCCATCCATGATTGTGGAAAGGGTCCTGGCTCCTCAGGCTGGATTCCCTCCCCCCTTCCAAAATCCCGCAGGCATGCAGAAGCTTCATTATCCTGTGGTTATGCTCTCGGTCAGAACATGTGCTCCCATGTTTTCTGAATTCTGCCTTTAGGGACTCCAGCAACAGGTAGCAATGTATAGCCCTACCACTGTTACAAACCCTGTTCAGTCCTAAGGAACTCTTGCCTGCAGGTGCAAAAAGCCTTCCAGAGAATAAGAAGCAGAGGTATCATGGAGCAATGGAAGAGGAGGATACTTGTAGTCTCTAAGAGGGGCATTATACCATGCTGTACCCTAGAGGCCTGCCTCTGCCCTCAGGGCTAGCAGCAATACTGTCCTCCTCCTAATTAGAAAGAAGAAAATAAAACAGTTTTTCATTACTCTTTTTCCTTTCTCAGGCTACTGTCATTATCCTTTGCCATTTCTTAAACTCAGGTGTTAACAGGAAACCTAGACAACACTTGTTGCTACTGAAGGTGAGAAAAGGTGAATTGATCGCCTTAAATTTTTTACACATTGGTGCTAACAAAGACATATTCAAGGTTTGAGAGAGGATGTGGCATTTACCTGATATCTCTAGGTATGATCTCCCCATTAAGGGATCTAAAACTTTATTTCCCTTTGTTAATCCAGATAAAACAATAATATTGTTAAGATTATTCAGTATTAATTACATCTCTTTTTAAACTCCTAAGTAGTAGCCAATTCCTATCCTGGATCCTAATGAATTTGTGCATTCACTTTTCTGGAAAGGGGTAGAAGTAGAATTTGGGAAGGAAGTGATGATCTCAGAGCCTTTGTCTCCTGACTCTCTCTGGAGTAAATATTTTATATTTAGCACTTGGGTACAAAGGCAGATTCCACAGGGAATGGAAATGTGTGTGTGTGTGTGTGTGTGTGTGTGGCTGGATGTGAGTATGCATCATTCTGTGAGCAATCTCAGCTCTCTGGCCTTTCAAGAAGCCATCTTTCTCTCTTCCCCATCACAGAAAGCAAGCAAGCACCTCACTTCGTCTCTGAGGAAGACACAGAACTTGGACCTTCCTCTTTGTATTGTATCTTCTTTACAGTCCACCAATACACTCTCCAATAAACATTTATCTGGTTCCTTGACTAAAAATTACTCTACATTTCCTGGTTCTTTCATTTATACCCAGTCTGGTCAGATATTTTAAAAAATAAAGGATGACTCCTGCTGTGTTATAAAACTTTAATTCCTTCACTCAGTAACATTTTGCTACATGCTCTGCATGAGCTCCCACCCTGGATCATCCATAGGGCCTGTCTTTATTTCTTCATTCAGGTTGAACATTAGAGGAAGTTCAGAATCTGACTCAGCAGACTAAAAGATTCACACTATCCAACTTCAGTTTGGATATCACTGCTATTCCTTAATTCATCTCTTGCCAGCTCCTCAACAGTGGACATTAGAAATAGATACTCCAAAGCTTTCTCCATTCTCCCCACGTCCTCACTCTGGACAGCCAGCCCTACCCTACACACACAAATCAGTCCACCTCAAATGACTTTACATTCTCCATTAGGTTTGCATATTTTCATTCCTGCTTTTTCCAAATTCTGGCGTTGCACCTATTCAACTGGCAATGTTCAGACTTCAGATAGGTGAAGCATGGTGATTCCAAAATCTGTGCCTCTGGCCATGACCTGTTTCCAAATGTTACCCCCATACTTCCATTTTCTCTCCTAAATATCCCTTCAGGCATGCTCAGCTAACATGGCTGCAAATTGGCCACTCAACTTTGGTTTCCTGTACTATAATTCTCCCAGGTACCATGTCTCACAGTCAAGTGAGCACCACAAAGGAGCAGATAACTTTATAGCTGTCAAGGACTTTAAGAAATCATCTGTATGGGGGCTGCAAAACATCTATAAAGGGCTTGATAGTATATATTTTAGGTTTTGTTGACTATGAGGTCTCTGCTGCAACCACTCAACTCTGTCACTGTAACATGAAAGCAGCAATAGATAATACATATACAAATAGAGCGGCTGTATTCCAATAATACTATTTTAAAAAACAAAGTGGGCCAAAAGGCAGTAGTTTTTTACCCAATATCATCCTAATTAGGTTCCCGATAGTGAGCTGATCAAATATTAGATTTTGCTTACTATTACTTCAGTGTTGAGTACATGCTACTCCTTTAAAAAGCAGTTATTCATTGTATCTAGCAATTTGTCTTTGATCCAAATGCCCCTCCACCAGTAGAAAGAATTGATGGTGAGCTATTTATAGCAATGGTTTCCTCTGAAGTTGTATGTTGAACAAAGTTTGCTTTATGATGATTTAGCATGATATTTTCCTTGATTTTAGCTGTCACTAATTTAATAAATTAATGTACTTAGTTTCAACTAGTATACTGCTCTCTTTAAACAAAAGTTTACTTAGAAACTCTGCTTAGAATGCTGTTGTTTTTACTTTGAAACAGAGTTGATGAAGAACTCCAAACCAGGCACTACCATTTTTTGTTCATTTATACTTGCTTTTTGAAATGTACAACCCCCCTCTTAAAAAAAAAAAATTTATTTTTTAGAGGGTGGTACCCTTGTAGTACAGATTCCCCCTGCTGGGTAAGTGTTCTAGGAATCCACTGGCATCAGTGTACCAGCTAGCATTGTTTTGGGAGACTGTGTTTAGCTTCAGTGAATTTTTTTTGGAGATTTTTTTCCCAACACATTTGCCCATTTCACGATGGGTGATATAGGAGTGCACCTGCCAACACCGTGCTAGGTGTTCAGTAGTTTTTGACCAAAAATGGCATGATCCCTATGTCCCACCCTTCCTGTTCACCCGATCTCCCTGAGTGACTTTTGTTTGCTTTCCAGGATGAAAAAAGTCCTCAAAAGGAAATGTTTTGCCGATGTGGAAGAGGTAAAACAAGCAAATGGCAAAAGCACTAAAAGGCATCAAAATTGACAAGTTCAAAAACAGTTTTGAGCAGTGGAAAAGGAGTCTTGATAGGAGTATTACAAAAAAATGAAGAGTACTTTGCAGGTGACAAGTTTAAATACGTAAGAAAAAACACACAATTTTTAATAAATAAATTCCGCATTTTTTTGGATACCCTTGTGTTAACTCTAATCTTTGCAGCAATCTTTTATTTTTATTTACTTATTTTCTTTTTTATTTTAAAGATGTGGGGTACAATTCATTGTTAGGCATACAAATGTTCATTATGCAGGTACCCTTGTTGATGAGGTGTGTCCCCCGCCCCCAGTCATTTCCCTCAACTGTCAATCCCACCCCCCTTCTCCTGGCAGTTTCCCACTATGCAGTAATCTTTTAAAGTCACCTGTTATTCAGTTTGGTTAAAACTGAAAAACAGAATCCACAAAGCCATTTAAGTGGACATATTAAACTTGAATGTACTGCATTACATGAAGAGCAAAGGACTAGTGAGGGTGTCCCGCTGCCCCTGCCATACCATGAAACTTTCCAGTGACTTTGGGTTAACTCATTTACTGTACATTATGTATGCATATCTGACAGAGTGAAAATGCTCAATTTATACATCAAGAATTAAAGAATTAATCAAGATTCATATCTTTATGTCTGATAACAGTAAGTAGTAGTAGTTCTATATTTACAGGCACTACTGTGAAACATCATCTGATTTAAAGAAAAGAATCACTCTCTGATTAGTAGGAAGGGTCAACATTGACTTTTCATTTGCTCTCACGCCCTGACCAAGGCCCTAAGTCTTTCATCCAACTGACACCATAGCATGAAGCAGAGCAGATGCTCTATAGCCAAGCCAGGCCCTGTCATGATATTCTGGGATTCAAGGGCAGCTAAGGTAAAGAGCAATCATCCTAATGGTTACCTGCAGGTCATTTTGTGGGTTCCAGTCAGAATCAAATATGATGCAGGTATCAGCAGCTGTGAGATTGATCCCCAGGCCTCCTGCTCTGGTGCACAGAAGAAAGACAAAGCGGTCTGAGTCTGGCTTACAGAATCGGTCGATGGCTGCCTGGCGCAGGTTTCCCCGTACTCGCCCATCAATTCGCTCATAGGTGTATCTGAGGGGACCCAAATGAACGAAAGCCCAGGTGTTAATCATGACTTCAGGAGAACAGCACACAATGCAGGAAGCTGTTGACTGATGGCCTTAAATCTCTCACTTCTCAATTTGGACCAAATGACTGCAGTCTAGAAGGAATCCCACCTCCTACATATACAGCAGGGCAGACACTTAAAACTGCATTGCAAAATGTCCCCTCTCTCAAAACAAAACAATAAATAAATAAATAAATATACAAATAAATAAACCAGTTGCAAACTAAGGACTAGAGCAAATAAAACATAAAATACTGATCCCCACTCCCCCAAGTAACTTATTCAAGTATTTTCCACTTTATACTTGCACTAATCATAAGACCAGGAAAAACAAATAAAAGCCTCAACCATCTACTTTGAGTAGTGTTCATAACAAGGACTCAGAGTTCACATCAGTTTCCAGCTGGTTTAGGTTAAACTGGAAATGGCAAGAAGACTGACTACACTGCCAGGCAGTCCTTTTATGCCTAAGCTAGTCATTTCTAGCCTAACAAGTTCCTCAAAGTTTTAGAGGTTCAGAGCAAAGCCGCCAAGTTTACAGCTGAAACCGAGAACTTCTGGGCAGTGTATAGTCAAGCAAGTAGAGATACATCAGAGGGAAGGTTTTTGGGTGTTGTATATGGGGGGTAGAGGAGAACTGAAGAATATTTAGAGAAAAACAAAGTAAGAAACTAAAGATGAACAGCAGTAAGAAGGCATATACTGTGTGGAAAGTTAAGAAACAGGGTGGGATGCACAGTAGAGGTAAGAGTAAAAGGAAATAGAGTAAGAAATGCAACTGTTATGTGCACATGTTGATACTGTCTATCCAGAGAGAAAACACACAGGAGGGGGCCTTTATGACAGAAGTCATGTAATTAACACAGAAGTAAGATACAACAGTAGTCTGCACAACTGCTAGGAGCCATAATCTTTTCTTATTTACTCAACAACAAATGAATTAACAAGAGAGAGAGTACTTCATGTTGGGTAAAGTAGAAGTAATAGGAACCTTGTAAGAAAAGGATTAAATCATCCTAATTGTAAAAATATGGCCAAGACCACGAATCCTGGAAAAAATCTTGTCAGTAGCCCAGAATTTAAAAAATCAGATCTCTAAACTTAGATGACTAACTGGCAGGTGAAAAAGGACAGATGTTCTAGGAGTAAATAACCCTGTGTGGAGGTGGCTTTAGAAAATTAAATTTCATGATATGATCCTGACTTCCTTGAAGAAAAGGAAAAGCTACGTAAAGAAAGCATCCCAAGAAATACACATGAAGAAATCTGACCAACTCACACTTATGAGGAATATGTACAGGAAAATATGCTTGAAAATACTATCTTCCTTTTATAAAACTACAATGCAACCACACCTGGAATTAAAAGTATAGATCTCATTTGTTTCTTCTAATTTATTGTATAATACAGTAGCAAATGAAATGGGTGGTGGTGATAGAATTGTCATTAAGGCAAAGCAAAAAGATTTTGTATCCTAAGATAAAGGTTAAGGGTCAGAATTCTATAAATATAATTATCATATTCATAACAATCACAATAATAACATTAGCAGTAAGTTTGTTTTTTTATTTTTGAGTTGGAGTCTCATTCTGTCTTCCAGGCTGAAGTGCAGTGGCACGCTCACAGTCACTGCAGCCTCGACCTGCTGAGCTCAGATGATCCTTCCACCTCAGCCTTCTAAGTAGCTGGAACTATAAGCAGTTGCTACCATGTCAAGCTAATTTTCTGATTTATTGTAGAGATGAGGTCTTGCCAAGTTGCCCAGGCTGGTCTCAAACCCCTGGGCTCTCAATCCTCTCGCCTCGGCCTCCCGAAGTGCTGGGATTACAGGCTTGAACCACCGTGCCCGGCCAGCAGCAAGTTCTTAAGTGTCAGTTCTGTGCCAGACATTGTGGTATATGCTTCATATGCATCACTGTATTTAATTCTCACAATAATCCTATGAGGTAGTTTCTATTATCATCCTTATTGTACACTTGAGGAAACCTAAAAACAAAACAAAAAACTATACAAGCAAAATATCTTGCTCAGTCACCTCAGCGAGTTGACCCCAAATCCATCTGACTTATGGCTTTCAAAATCACCATGCCCTACATTTCAATGCAGCAGGACAGAAAGGTTTTACGAAACACTCAAAAGAAATTAAAGAAACATAAGAGACACTAGTAAACTCTGGAAACTTGTAATTCTAACAGAAAGTGGAAGCAGGAACTATACCTAGGTATCAAAATGATTTTGATAAATCAATTCTCTGAGGATCTATAACAGGTTATTCACAGAAGTTTAGCTATGCAGGCGATGCAACAGAAGAAGCACAGGATTTGGAATCACAAAACAGGGTTGAGATTTAATTAAACAACAGCTCCTGCTACCTCCATGCCCACTATCACACATATGAATGACTAATGCTGCAGGACAGAGAATTCTATGCTCTTTGACAAGTGAGGGGCTAGATAACCATGAATCAGAGTGATGCTGGGAACTAGTATAACCCTTAAGGGGGAGGAGAAATCAATAAATAGTAATGATATAGCTTAGCCATCACCTAGGGAAAAAAAAATTCCCATAAAATTAATCAGCGTTTTGCCCATTAGGATTTAACAATACTCTTAGAATTTGTGCAGGATGGTAGGGACAATAATTCTCATTTCTATCACCTGTTTAGTTTTGAGAGGGTGCTCTCAAAGAACACACATACACACACACAGAAATCAATAATTTGAGCTCCTTTAAATCATTCCCTACTCCCTGACCCCGTCAGATCCTCTGGCTATGCCTTCATTCCTGTATGTGATTCTGGCATGAAATTAAACAGGGGCAAAACCAAACTGACAGTTGGAGAGGCAAAGAGGTTCAAGAACAAAGAAAACCTTGAAGGCTAGTAAGTCTGAATGAAGAAATCAGACATCATAAAATTTTCCAAACGAAACATCAGCAGAGCAATGAACTCTCTGCAACAACTGTATTTTGAACAAAATCCCTAGGAGTTGATATGGTTCATCAAACTATAATTGAGTCACTGTCAAATATCAGTGAGAAGCAAGTGGCACTCTGGAAAATCTTCTTTGTAACTGGCCAAGGGAAGGGGGAGAAGTGACATGTTTTTGACACAAGAAATGCTAACCTTAAAAGGACTGAAGGTGAAGAGTCAAAAAAAAAAAAATCCCAGCCAGGCGCGGTGGCTGAAGCCTGTAAACCCAGCACTTTGGGAAGCCAAGGTGAGGGGACTGCCTGAGCCCACAGGTTCAAGAACAGCCTGGGCAACTTGGCAAGAGCTCATCTCTACAATAAATGAAAAAATTAGCTGGGTGTGGTAGCACATGCCTGTAGCTCCGGCTATTTGGAAGACTGAGATGGATAGATTGCCTGAGTCCAGTAGGTTAATGCTGGGGTGGCCGTGAGCGTACCACTGCACTCCAGCCGGGGCAATGGAGTGAGACTTCAACTCGAAAAAAAAAAAAAAAAAAAGTAAAGAAAAAATCAAAAACAAATATGAAAGACTGTTAACATAACAGTAAGGGGCTATGCTTTGCTCTGTAGGTCTGTAACACCTACAGAGGTTCTAACATAAGGCAGACACTGCATAAATATTTACTGAGACAAGGTATATATAGAAGACCTGAGAAGTGCAGTGAATACCATGTTCCTTATTTTTTCAAAGATGTCATTCCTATTCCACTTAAGATACAAAAGCCAATAAAAATCCCAACATATGTATATATAGATATGCAAATGTTTTTATATGTATACATATAAATACATACACATACATTTTTCTGAAGTCAGGGGGGCCTGAAGCAGTCAGAGATAGGGTAAAAGAATAATTCTGAAGTTCATCTGGAATAATACATGAGCAAAGGAATAATAGTACTGATCAAAAGAATAGAAAAGAAAGACTAGACATACACCCAGCATATATATCTCAGTATATTTCATGAATAGTATTTTACGCAAATGGTAGAAAAGATGAAATATTTTAGTATAGGAAATGTAGATATTTGGAAAGAAAAGAAAATCAAAACTTCTATTATATGCCATTTATCAAAATTACAGAATTGAAGACTAAAACAGAAAAAAAAAATCAAAGAAATCAGTTAAAGATTATAAATTAACATGCAAATTTAATTCTTTGTTATCCCCAAACCTCCAATAAATTCATAGTAAAATAATTAAAAAAAAAAATTTAAACACATAATCCTCTCTCCCAAACAAATTCACAAACAGGACAGAAAGGACAAAATTTTGCAAGGGAAAGTGATATGTGATTTGAAGAAAGTAGAATCTCAAATAAGATACAACATTATTTAATACTTCAGAACACCTGAAGATCTGGATAAGACACTGGTGGCACTAGGTATTACTGAAAGCAGGGATGCAAAGAGTTTAAAAACAGAGGAAGTAGTGGTACTTTTGAAGTATCAGTTAGCCTCTAGATTACCCACCCCAGACTTGGAGAGGTTCATAAAATAAAGGATCATGATCCTCTCTGGGAGATACCCACCCACAGTGACCATTCTGAAAAGGGAAGAAAGAGATATTGAGACATCCCATCCCCCGCACTCTTTTTGAGACCCCTACTCTTTCTCACCCCTCCCCAACAATCAGTTCTGAGTAAAATCAAGTTTTCACTCTCCAGGCAGAAGACAGGAAGAGAAAAAAGTCCCCCAAATTCTGACTGCACTGGAGGGTCCCCAATGAAAGGGTGCAGCCAGAAGCACAGTGCTGGACATGGAAAGTGAAACTCACAGTCAACAAGCCTCACTTATATACTCAGAACTTGTAATTGTCTGCATAGTGCTAGCTCATCTGATGGCCTAAGACATCAGACAACAAGGAAAGTCTTTGATTTGAAACACAGGATATCTGCTTCTGTTATGGAAGGGCAAGGTGCTAACACACCAGCCCTCAGCAAATAATAGCCATGAAGTCTGGATAAACTATAAAAAACAAAACAAATTAACAG